CCTACCTTGACTTAATCTCTTTTCGAAAGTAACTAATATGTTAATACAACTATATATATATATATATATATATATATATATATATATATATATATATATAGGTTTATTGATCCGTTGGTATATAATCCAGGTGGATCCTATTAATATCAGATATTAAAACTGATCCACAGAGAGAGATCAATGTATTTATTATAACAGAGCCTATATTTTATATAGCAAAAAATCCTAAATTACCTCATGTGGGTATAGTTTATTTCAAACTGGCACTGCTATGTGCCAGCTATCCTCAGCCGAAGACTGTCAGTCTTGGGTTGAGGATAGTTAACACATAGCAGTGCTAGTTTGAAATAGACTATACCCACATGAGGTAATTTTGATTTTTTGCTATATATATATATATATATATATATATATATATATATATATATATCATGAAATGCCAAACGTCATGGGATAGAAATATATAAAGTTTATGTCGGTAAAGTGATAAGGAAGGATTAACCTTCAATTGTTAAAAGAATGCATCCAAAAAGGAACAACCCAATTGTCGTACTTACTTGATTATGGCATCTGCAATCTTGGGTTGTTTCACTTGCTGACAATCATACATTCTGTCTTCTTATATTCTTATCCGATGGGCTGTGTCTCTTCAGGGCGCAGGCGATCATGGCTCTCCACATTTTCTTATCCTTTGTAGCTCTTAATAAGTTTTTTTTCTTTTTGTTATCTCTTCTAAAACTTATTCTGTCAACCATTTACTCAAGCTCGCTAGGTAAGTGATGAGTTGATTTACTCTGTCCTTCTAGCCTTTAATCTGTCCCGTGAGTATCAAATTTTCCAAGCCTGCTTTCCTCATTATGCTCCCTATAAACAACAATTCCTGATGTTAATTATAAGTTTCCATTTAGTTTCCATTTTCTCTAAAACTTAGACGTTGCTGGCATGTTTGTCCATGGTATCCTCAGCACCTTTCTGTAGAACCAAATTTCTGTTACTACAAGTCTTTTCTTCATCTTTGAGATTTCCCAGCATTCACTGCTACATATGAGGACTGATACTACTTTTTAAATTAAATTATGTGGCTCTGTAGTATATAAGTATTTTTTTTCATTTGTACTCCTCTCTTTCTTTCTAAGATTAACTTATGGATACGCCTATATAAGTCATATTTGAAGGGAGTGCCGTAAAGTTCAGAACACACTTCCCAAAAGTCTAACCAAACGTCAGAATGGATTTGAGAATTACATCTTGGTTGGGCTGTGAACGTTTCGCTATCCTTTTCGTAGATGTAGACACAAATCCATTTCACGTCACAACATGTAATTCTAAAAGGGTGAAATCGAGGACATATGAACTCAAAATGACAAATATGCATAGAAAGAAAGGTTAGCAACCAAGGCAAAAGAAAACTATTATAAGCCGATCATTTTCTTCTATTTCCACTGAAACGTGCCTGTCAACTGAAGCCATTCGCCTGGATTTCAGATTATCGAACTAAAAAATAAAAGTGGTATTTAATTTTGTGTCGTATCAATAATTAAACAATAACAGACCGATTGATCCGTCCTTCCTTCATTCGATATTTTTGTAAGTAGAGAAGTTTCATTCATTCCTTGTAAACAACGATACGCCGACCCCCATCCTTTCATTCTGTCTCTGAAAACTTCCTGTTATTGATTAATCGTTAAAATTCACGGCACGTAGACAACGAACTGATTGATCGGATCTTTCACTACTCAGTCGGAGAGTATGTTTTAATATTCGAAGAATGTAGACAGGGATTCGTTTCATACGTTCATTTACGAACCAGAATAATTCCTTTCCTTTCGTGTTTTCTTCAGTTCGTTATGTCTTAATATTCCTCCAAGGGCGCGGAAGCAAGCGGCACAGTTTTAACAATCAAGACTGCGTATTCTGTTATTGACTAAGTTTTGATACTTAACTGATGTTGTACTAACCAAAGCAATGAGGGCGGCCTTAGCGGTCTCTGCCCTAGTTATCGATATTTACGCAAACATTAAAAATCGAAATAAAAACGGCTAGAGATAAACGGGAAGGATGTAAATAAAGTTTTCATTTCAATATGCTTACAAAGTGTAAAAATGCATCACATGCCTTCTCCCCGACGCTGAAAAGTAAAGCTAGCGAATATTACAACAATTCTGTCTTTGCTCACAAATCCAGCAGTTGTATTTTTTCGAATCGTTCGACCATCATCATCTTTTCACGACATCTATCCCAAAACTCTTCTCTGTAAGACAGTAGGGCGCACTTACTAGCGATATGGGTCACATGACTAGCCAAGATGAATACAATTAATCAAGAAGAAAGCTTAACACAAAACGTTTTTTATATACTAACGTTCACTCAATACAAGACCCGAGAGTCATTGAAGGTAGAGTGTGATGTAGAATGAGCGTAAGAAAGGGCAAAAAGTGACGTTCATAGGCTATTCAAGAAAGATAATAGTTAACCTTAGCTTTGAGGTGATAAAGATTGATTTGATTGAAGACATAAACAAAGAAAAAAAATGAAAATAGGAAAGTGTTGAACTTTATATTTGTTAAAGTATCTTGAATATTTTAAAAAATTAAATATAAAACGCTTCAAGGTAAGCATTTATAATGTTACCGCTTCGGAAATAAATCGTTTTATTAGTGTTTAAAATCAACCAATTGATTAGTATTTAAAAGCGAGTTTATTAGAAATGTAATCTTTCTAACCGTTCTTTTATCAATCTGCATAAGTCAAGTTTGTAGGTGTTTAAACCCACGAATTACATCCATGAAATAATCGAAAATTTAAGGTGATTCGATCTTACCATTGTCGTGATACCTGCTATAGTACCGTTATTCCCCATGTGTAATACGCATTTTTTCTAAAAAAAAAAAGAAGAAAAATTAGGGGTGCGTATTATGCACAGCTACAAAAAATCTTTAAAACACTTCCCGTTTCATGGGTCGATTTCAGTTGCGAAATGACTACTCAACACAAACATACAACAATTTGACTCTAACATTCGGCGATTGCGACCCCATAAGGATGTCAAATACAATCATATGTACCTAACAATACTTAAAAATGTAAAATAAAATAAGAATTATCATAAAACTAAATTAGAATAATATTATTCTGTTTAAAACCATTTGTTGTGAAAAATACATACAGATCCGGTAGATTGCACATTTTATCGAACAAAAACTGGATAATGAGTCTGCGCAGTAAGCACAATATAGGTATTTCCGTTTCCTTTTAGAATCATAATGATCGGAAATTTTGATAAATATCTTCAATTACGGCTTGAATAAGAGTAGGAAATACTGGCCGTAATGAAATTAGAGAGGTACAATTTATAGGGTTTGATTACCAAATAAGGGGTGCGTATTATGCGTAAGTAGAAGCATTTTCCCAGACTTTCAGAACAATTTTAAGGCGGCGTATTATGGATGTAGGCGTATTACACATGGGGAATTACGGTAATTTATTATAAATCTTTACCCTGATTTGGTATGACTATTAACATTAGTATTTTCACGATATCCTTTTCTATATTTATTCATCAATGTTTTACAGTTTTTCTTTCCATAACAATAGACTCGCCCTTTGAAAGTAATTATTAGCAATCTGGTGTCTCGCTTTGGAATGAGTAATGAGGCATCTCGATATTATGGTCACACAAGTTATATTTGGTGCCACTCGAAGTGAGAAAATTTGAAGTTAGCATAAGAATGGAATTTGAAAAATAAAAAAGAATTTAATGTTATAAAAGTATAAACATTATAAAATATAAAATTGGAAAAAATATTATAAAACTTACATTGCACCCTCATTATAACACAAGAACTTAGGACACCTCGGCGTGGTATAATGGTTAGCAAGCTTGTCTCGCTAAAACGGTTTGGGTAGACTGGGACACAAAGAAAAAAAATCAGGCCATAAACTGAAGGCATGTAATCTCTCTCCCTGTTAAGTATAATGCTTATAATTTCTGTAACTATTTTTATATCTACCGTGAAACATTATATACAAATTATTTGCGAATTTTGACTCAGGGGCTCAGGCAAAAGGGTTAAAATTGTTCAGGAACGCAAAGGGTTAATGAAAGGGAACAGTAAAATACTTAAGAAGACAGAAGATAACGACTGACATGGCATTTGAATTTTTGAAGATCAATGTTGACTGGGATGCAAGAAAGCAGAAAAGATTTCCACAAATGAGAAGTACGATAGAAGAAACTGTTAGCATAGAACTTACGGTTAGATCGTCTCATTTCAACTGTAAAATGATGAGACCTTGCCGCCAATACAGTAATGCGTTTAAATTCATATAGTCTAGGTGTCATAGAGGAAAGTTCATCAGAATAATTACCATGAACGTATTTATAGAAAAGACACAGGGAAACTACGTTACGGAGGTGGAATCGGACTGAAGCTTACATGCCAGGTCAAGACCAGTAACATTGCAGATTCTTCTTTGTATTTTATCAAGGATCTCTAAATACATAACAGGAGCACTAGACCAGCTGTGGCAGCAATATTCAAAGCACAGACGAATGGTAAACTTATAAATATGTAAGATAGATTCTGGCGAGAAAAATTGTCCGACTTTCCTAGCAGCAGACTTAACAATTGATTTCATATACTCTTTCCACTTCATGTCAACTGAAAACGTTAGTCCATATGACATATTTCGCATATAAATATAAGCATGACCTAAGAATGTTATCAACGGTGGTTAGTTAATAACCATTTTATTATGAACATATTGACTTATATAATAAAATCTGACATAGTTAAATGCGAGTTGCTAGCCACTTCGGCAGTCAACGGCGCAATTGAGAGAAAAAAGAAGTATAAGTGAGAAAGACAAAGGTTCAGCCAAAATATTCAAAGTAAAAAATTAAAAAAAAGAATCAAATAAAGAGAAGGCTTGAAAGAAAGAAAGAAACAAACAAACGTGACGAAAGGCTAAAAGAAAGACAGATTTTGAGAAATGAAGGCTTAAAGAAAAAAAAAAGAAAGAAAGAAAGAAAGAAAGAAAGAAAGAACGAAAGAAAGGACAAGAAAGGAAAAAATCGACAGAGAAGAAAGGCTCAAAATTGAAAGAAAGGAAGAAAGAAAGAAAGAAAAAGAAAAGGTCTCTTCGCTTTATCATTTACTAACTAATATCTGGACAAATAAGATGTAAAGAATAACATGGTTTTTCATTATTAAAAGAAAATTATCAAAAAGATAAGACCACGAAAGAAAATTAAATTTGTTATTAAAAACATCATCTTACTCACAGGCTCTCTCTCTCTCTCTCTCTCTCTCTCTCTCTCTCTCTCTCTCACACAGACGCGCGCATACTCACACATGTACGCACACACATACTTGTGACCACACACATTCAAACAAGTGCGAATGCGGGCTTTAAATCTATTTAAAACTTTTCATTCTTTTTTTTTTTTTTTTTTTTTTTTCCAGAAATTATTTTTGCATTAGTCGTTACGCTAAGCATTTGGAAGATAAAAAAAATTCGTCTTGAAATTTCATAAATCTAAAGAGAATTGTGATTTTGGAAAATATATTCTTTAACAAAAGAACTCAGAATGTCTGACAGCATCTTAAGTCTTAATCGCTTCATGCGCATCTACATAGTATCCAAGGTTATTCACGTATACATATATACTAAATAAATACTACCCTGTCTAAATGAGTGGATTTTTCTGTATCCTTGAAAACAAAAAATTATGAATTTTATGTGCGTTTAAAACTCAGTAAATTTAAAAATAAGTTATTCCAAAATTCGCTTGAAGATGAAACAGAACTAATGCTTTTAATTTAATTATATAATTAAATTTGAAGTTTTTAGCTTCGGTTTTTGAAACATGGCAATTTCTGTGTAGCGAAGGAACCATATTTTTAAATCAGTTACTTTATAACATATATATATATATATATATATATATATATATATATTACAAATTGCTATCCACTTTTGGCAGTATTAGGAAGAAAGAAAAGAAAGAAAGAAAAAAAAAGAAAAAAGAAAGAAAGGGTGTCACTAGAAAGAAAGAAAGAAAGAAAGAAAGAAAGAAAGAGAGAGAGAGAGACAAAAATGGTGTGTCTAGAAATATATATATATATATATATACATATATATATATATATGTGTGTGTGTGTGTGTGTGTGTGACGTATACGTACATATATGTATGTATACGTCACAGATTATTCCACATCATTTAAAACATAAAAATAGCAAGCGGTATATGAAGGGGACAATAAAAAAATGTCTTACTACCATCATCCAGGATCAGCCAAACAGCAACTGTCGAGCACTAAGCAGCAACTGAACCAACGTACTATCAAGTGACTCTCAAAAGTCCCTTAAGATATCCTCTCAAAAGGAAAATAATCACCTTCTATATGTATGCAAAACTAAACCTTTTGCTGTTCGATGCTTCAGGCACAAATTTTTCATTTATCTCAAAAAAGCGAAGATGATTTATACATGACTGCACGCCCTCGAGTCAAAGACACGGGGCTGACTTGTACACGAAATCGTCTCGTTCCCGGATGATCCCCAAAGTTAAGCAACGTCGAACCTGGTCTGTATCTAAATGGGTTTCCGCTTGAGAATGCCAGATGCTCTAAGCTTAGATGTGCGGATGGTGCAATGAACAATGGCTCAGAATTGATATTCGAAGAGCCGAGTTCCAATCTCTTTTGAGTTCCTTATATTCACTTACGCTCAAAAACCCTTGGGAAAGGTATGAATCCACCTATTCCCACCCTATCTATGGGTTCATAAGTAAGACTTGTATAACTAAAACTATTATTTACTAAAAACAAAAAGAAGAAAAAATAAAATAAAATTGCATACAACATATATAGACCTCAGCATTAAATAACCCATAGAGCTTGATATACCCTAAACAAAAACAAACAATCAGCTTCCTTTGTCAATGCACTTAATCTAGTGCTGAATATGGATAACACAGAGTCGACATTATACACTGAAATTTTTAGATCAAAATACGCATCAGATTATTGATGCATTCTTGTATATAGCGCATCTAATTTTCTGCTGTATTTTGTTCTTTTTCTTCGTTTCCAAAATTTGGGTGGTTACCTTATAGATACATCAAAGTGTAAAAATGCTGTCATTGCTTGTTTATTAGCTATAGATTCCAGGTGTAATAAAAACGAAGCGTTTGTTAATGATGTAAGCGGCTGCTTGGAAATCTAAAAAAAAAAAATAGAATGAATCGCCATCGGGTGGAAAGAGGCCACTTAGGAACTATAAAAAGACTTCAAACATTTCGCTATATTCCTAAAAGAACTCACTTTACGAGCTGTCTTTAAAGTATCAAGTACAAATGAATTTTACCGTTATTCGTGTGGCAAAAAAACCCACTTCAAACCCAGAAAGGGGTACAAGGAATTTAAACTCTGTAACTAAGTTACATCGAGACTGACCGTGTAGGGAGCATAAACAGAATGCGCTTTCTTTTTGGCATCGAAAGTTATCAGACAAGCACCTAGCTAGTAATTCATCGCAAATTCCTATTCACTTTTGGCAGTATTAGAAAGAAAGAAAGAAAGAAAGAAAGAAAGAAAGGCCATATCTAAAAAGAAAGAAAAAAGAACAAAATGTGCGGAAAGAAAGGAAGGAAGGAAGGAAGAAGGGATAAACGGTGTGCCAAGAAAGAAAGAGAGAGAGAGATAGAAAGGGTGCGAGTAGAAAGAAAGAAAAAGAAAGGGTTGCCTAGAAAGAAAGAAAGAAAGAAAGAAAGAAAGAAAGAAAGAAAGTAAAAGTGTTAGAAGAAAGAAAGAAAAATTGTTTCAAGAAAGAAAGAAAGAAAAATTGTTTCAAGAAAGAAAGAAAGACAGAAAAAAGAAAGAAAGAAAGAAAAATTGTTAAAAGAAAGAAAGAAAAAAGAAAAAAAGAAAAAGACGTTAAAGTGAAAGCAGTAAAATTCTAGGAAGTGGCTCAAAAGAAATAAAGAAAGAGTAACGTAGCAAGATGTGACACTATTTGGCTTGCTAAAAAAAGAAAGAAGGAAAAAAAAGAAAGGCGAGAATTAAATTTAGGTGATAAGAAGCCATCATGAAAAGGACACTAAGCGGTGTTATTTTTCTGACAAGGAAAAATGGTAAAATTTTTATTTCCATTGTCGAGAAAGGAAGATACTGGAATTAATCTGATTTATGTTACGGAGCGGGTGGAAATTCCAGGTTGGTCAAATAACCTCAGAGACAGAATCCTAAATAGATAAAAATTAACTGGGTCGCAAAAGACGAAAATGTCCATTTGGACCACACAGAGTTACAAAAACAAAAGACCAAACCATTAGTTATCTCCGGGAAGGTCGTTTGGAAAAGGCATCTGTTTTGTGTCGAAATTGCCTTGGTGGCGAAATTATTTTATCGGGAATAAATAACGCCAGAATGCGAAACGTCCAATTGACCACCCACTTGATAATTGGCGAAAATCTCGTTGACGAATTCCATATGAAATACGGCTGTGGTAGCGGGACTGTTTTATCGGATCAGTGGTTGGCGCCAAGAGTGCAGGTACGTCTGGGTGGCCACCCGCTTGGTGCTGGCGAAAAGCTAATTGACGAATTCCAGGTAATTCGGTTAAAGATAAAGAGTTTAGGGTGTGAGGTCTCCTCGAAGAGAAGAAAGAAAAGGAAAAGAAAAAAAAAATAAATTTTTTTTTCCTTTGAGCAAGATTTTTTTAAATCGAGGCTAGTCTGGCCACACCCACGCTGCTGAGCGCCCATTGGCTGAATGGTAGCATGAACGTTAGGCGGAGGTAATCATGTGAAGTAGGAGGGGAGGCCTGTTGGCACCCATTGAGGGGATAGGTGTGAGATGCCACTGTGAGAGAGAGGGGAAACCCGTTGACACCCTCTGAGGGTATGGTGAGATACCAATATGAGAACAGAAGGTGGGAGGACGATAAAACTTCCAAAAATGGAAAATAATAAAATTTTCCTGACCGAAAACAAAGAAGTGGATTGTGGGTTTGGAATTATCAAGGAACCTCAAACCCCGACAAGCCCACCCCGGTTTTGGTCGGCGTCCATATAAGCAGAGTCGCAGCGAGTGAAAAGTATTTCCAGTTCAGTTCCAGTTCAGTTCGAGTTAAATTCAGTCCAGTTCCAGTTAAGTTCAGTCCAGTTCAGTTCCAGTTAAGTTCCAAGCAGTTGCAGTGAGCTGAGAGCTCTGAAGACCCGCCTCACAGAAGCTGACTAAGATTCACGCAATTCCGAACTCATCTTCTAATCAAGAACAATTTATTTTTGAAGAACGACTTAGACTCACACCACCAAGACAAGTTTTACGAATATCGCCTGAAGATACACCAAGAACCAGTTTCTAAAAGAACAAACAACTTAAGATGTTAAGACTCGCCTAACAAACACAAAGTGTCACGAATCCATATAGCGGGTTGGGAAGTAGACGCAGTCTTGTATTCAGCAACCATATATCAAATATTGTTATTCTTTTTTCACACATTTGAACTTTTCGAGTTATTATTTTATTTTCTTTTACACAGACGTGTGCGATATCACCCTTATTCGAACTCGACTTGCAGTACGGCCCGGTGACTGATCGATTTCGCCTGCCTAAGATCAATTCACAACGTGGGTAGGTGAGACTGGAAACCGAAACAGTTACTTCGGTAACCAGACGTTGGAGGCGAGCTGGGAACGACAAGGCTGATACCGAATCTAACCAGATTCCCATCCGAATCACCAAAAGGTTAGAACGTCACATTTGGTGCCGCGACCAATACCAAGCCAGTTGGTCGTCACAGGACAGGATAGCACGACGGACGCGGCTAGGCAGACGTCACATTTGGCGCAGCGACACCCTTGGGGTGACGTCACAAAGAAATAAAGTCGGTTCTGAACGAAAGTGAGAAAAATTTCTCATTTCAAATTTGTTTTCTTCTTTTCCGTGCCGAGATGACCGATGATCTATTCTTCACAATAATCCATCCTTTGAAACACTTACTAAGAATTTTTTTTTAAATATCTTTCCCACTGACTCTTTCTGTCATCCATTTACACATAGGTGACTCCTTGTTTCCCTCAGTCATTCTTGCCTTTAGTATACCCTGTGAGAGGCAAAATCTCCAAAACATTCTCTTTATTTCAATTATCCTACATCTATAGTATCCTCAGCATCCTTCTGTAGAACCATATTTCTGTTGCTTCGAGTCTCCTTTGACATTGGGAGAGAAGTACTCAACATTCACTGTGTTATACCCCGAGCGGCGAGGTGGACTCGACCGTACGTGAGAGAACGAAACGTGGGACTGGGGGAGGGAGAAAAACCCTCTCTGTTTGCAAATACTCTGCTTGTCGACTTCTGCCTCCGGGCGGAGAGAAACCCAGACGAGGCTATATCGAAGGGCTGAGTCTCGTCTGGGGAAGTAGACAGCTACCTGACCCCGTGTCTATGAGGTCTACCGGCAAATTTTGCCCGAACCTACGGGCTCAGAACGCTCCAGGTAAAAAAAAAAACTGACCTTGTGCCACATCCCGCAAGATGGAGAGGTGTCGGGTAAATACCGAGGTAACAAAACCCCACTCTGTTTGCAAATACTCTGCTTGTCGACCTGTCTGCGTCCTGGTGGAAAGGAACGCTGACAAGACTATGCCTAAGGACAGCGTCTCGTTTGAAAAGGTAGACAACAACCCGACCCCGTGCATACGGGGTCTACAGGCAAAAAAAAACGGTCTTGTGCCACATTACGCATTGTGGGGAGGTCTTGGGTAAATACCGAGACAGCAAAAGCGGTCGTGTAAGAAAATACAGTAGTATCTATAGCTGTATTTATTTTAAAAGTGGCTGGACTCATTTAAGTAATAGGGAAATTATAACACATTCCATATATAACTAATATTGCATAGATGTTCAGATTTGTTTTCTAACACTATTTTCTTGTTTCTTTATACTTTGTTTAGATTTTGGAAGGCATGTTACTCTATTCTAAGCGCCATTGGTTTTCAGTGTCACGTTTTCTGTTCTCTGTTCCCGGTTTTTTTTACATATCTGAACTTGCTTGATCTTGGCATCATAAATTCATCGCTGTCAAAATCAAGCACGGACAGAAATTCATATATCTGGGAAGTGTTTTACGAATGTACGTTATTTTAAAAAAATATGAGCGAAAGAAATGAATTTTCTGTACGGCAGTAGCGATATAGGGTTTATGAAACTACAACGTCATTTATGACAACTCAAAAAAACGCCTGGATAAACAAAGAAATATATAATTAAACACACCCAAATGTATTCAAGAGATATCGTGTACCTCAAATACCCATTGTCATGTGAAAAATTCTCATAATTTTCAATGTCTTTCTCTTGATAAAGGGAGGTAAATTAACACCATAAACAATAAAAATGCTTATTAGAAAACACCTGCAAATTTAATAGCCTATATCACGCGATATAAATACATGTATATGATTACATATTATGATAAACTACATTAGGATATATATATATATAGATAGATAGATAGATAGATAGATAGATAGATAGATAGATAGATATGTTGGCTTGACGACAACAACATTATCATGACGTCTTACACTTCATTTCTCGGATACAAGTTCTATCGCACTAGATTTAAAGACAATCCTGTCCACTTTCACAATACAGGAAAATACTTGTTAATAACACCAATATACTACACGATGAAAATGATAAACAAGAACTTCAAATTATTGAGGCCATCTATATGAAAAGCAATCAAGCAACACTGAACAAAATTTATTACGAGTAGAGTAACAATGTTTTAAAATGCATTGTGTTGACTAACAATTTAACTAACATCTCTGATTACCCCCCATTAGGAAAGCTTCTTTACAAAACATCGGAAACATAACGATTAATTTTAAAATAATTATAACAGAGCGTGTTCATGCGTATTTACAAGAATCGCCATCACAATGATTACAGTTATATCAAGTTGTCTTGCAATTCATCCCTCAGGATGATATCCGAAGAGATCGAAATTATTTGGGTTGACAAAAACACGGCGCCTTCCTTGAAGAATTTCAACTTAACAAGTTGAAGATAATTAGAGAACTAGAAAGGATTATTATAAAAATAAACATAATATGTGTATATTATTTCATACCACATGCTTGAATGAAGATATGCTGCCAATATATAGAAGGTGTATATATATATATATATATATATATATATATATATATATATATATATATATTGGTAGAAACTGCAATGGGATAAGGTTAGTGTTTGTAATATTTTAAATACTAACTCTTTCTACACTTTCATTTTTTTGAACTGAGAATTGAGCACTTTTTTAAAAATATAACCGTTTCCTTGACAAGATAAACTTATCTGTAAAAACAGTTTTATTGTAATATATATATATATATATATATATATATATATATATATAGAACAAATTCATTCAACAAAAATCTATATATATATATTTATGAAAGTATAGTTGCTAGTCCGTGCCTGACGATTGACACCTGCATGAAACTCAGTTGTAACAAACGATGAGGAACAATATATATATATATATATATATATATATATATATATATATATATATATATAATGTATATTTGGGCAGCAACATTTCTATTAAGCATCTTTCTTTAAATATGTAGGACAAGGAGAATTTAATTAATTTTTTTTTAAAGTTTTTCCAGGTAATTTGTTTTTTCAATTTTGGTGGATGCAAGGAAGTATATATATATATATATATATATATATATATATATATATATATATATATATATAACGAAATAAAACACATAGTCAAAAGGCTATCATTCATATTACTGCCAATATTGCTATCAATTTGTTGTCATTTTATGCCTCAAATTTCATTAAACGGCCTCTATACTCAGCTTATCTTAATCTAGTATAAAACCATTATTATGCGATATTCATTTCGACTCGCACTCACTACGGTAGGAATCTTCGTCTAGGTTAACTTAATAACCATTATTCCATTGCAGGACGCCATCTTTTAAGTAGGCACAAGATCTCACACGCAAACACACGTATACACCTAAACACACACACACACACAGGAATATAGATAAATCTCTGTGTGTGTGTGTGTGTGTGTGTGTGTGTGTGTGTGTGTGTGTGTGTGTGTGTGTGTTTTTAGGTGCTGCTCGCTGGGAGGAAATAGATTATTGGAAATTTCTATTCCATAATTGCTGCAGTAATGCGAACGGAGCTAAATACCACCGAACGACGTCGTTGTTGATTCAATGCAGGAAATCGATAAATTGGGTCTTCGAGATGGTGTACTTGGCTGAATGAATATTGGAATGTGTTCAGATAAATGGAAACGACGCTTAACGGAATGGATTACTCGTATTACGCACATACATAAGTGAATCGATCGATTGATATGAATATATATGATAAGATAGATAGATAGATAGATAGATAGATAGATAGATAGATAGATAGATAGATAGATAGATAGATGGAAAGAAGCATTTTCGCCCTGTGGTGATTGCACCTTTTATATGTAAACCTGCAAGAGATACAAGAATATTGTGTGGGGTGATTCGGGGGAGGGCATGACTGACTACAGGAGCTATGAGAAATTATAAAACTATTTCCGATTTTAGAAGCATGTTCATATTTAAAAAAAAAAAAAAAAAGAACGGACTGATGAATAAAAAGATCAATCGAGAAATAAATGGCTTATCTAGATATTTAGATAGATACAAATGGTATAAAATAGGAAAACAATATATGTGTCTGTGTGCAGTTAAACACATACGCCTACACGAGGACACAAACACACACAAACACGCAAATACACACACACACATATATATATATATATATATATAATTCTCTATTTAAAGTAGTATTGCGTAGATATGTAGGGAAATGACGGTTCTTTACTAGAAGAAAGGAAGATAAAAAAGATAATTATATACTTATATATATATATATATATATATATATATATATATATATATATATATATATATATATATAAGTGTGCGTATGTGTGATTGCATATCTACATGTCAATTTATATATAAATATGTGTGTATTTGTAAAGAAAGAAAATAGGAAACGATACACACACACGCGCACACACACACACGCGCATACACACACACATACACACACACACACACACATAGGGTGTTTAAAAAGTAACTCCTTAATTTATGTATGATGGACTCTCCCGCCTAACTATAATTATTCCAAGACTGGAGAGTACATCATACATAAAATAGAGTTATTTTCAATCACCATATATATATATATATATATATATATATATATATATATATATATATATATATATATATATATATTCGTCTGTTAAAAATAGTATTACATAGATACATCGAGGAATAAAGGGTCTTTGATAGAAAAAAATTTGGAGAAACATACTGAGATAATTGTATATATATATATATATATATATATATAATTACATACGTACATGAAAATTTATATATATATGTGTGTGTGTGTGTGTGCTTTAATGTGTGTGTGTGTGTGCGTGTGTGTACGTGTGTGTGTGTGCGTGTGTGTGTAGAACGGAGAGCGGGCATGCCTGGCAGCATAACTTCCTCGTCTCGTACTTGTTTTTGCTATTGTTGCATATGCCGCGTGTCCCGATCACTCCTTCCCACTGCTACCACCTAACCGATCGACAAAACCATCCAACCCCCGAATGAGATACACTTGATCTCGGCCGAACACGGGACTGCGATATTTAATGCCATTTGAATGCAACAAGGGATTATGTAGATCGTATCAAATTCTCTTTCGTTTCTCTCCGACACTCATTCCCATTTTCTTCCCGCTTCAACGCCTTTTCTCTCTCTTCCTTCTAACCATTACGTTCACTCGTCACCCTCTCTTTATCTTTTTTTCTCTTCCACCTCTCTTTTTTTCTCTCTCTCCTTCTTCGTCTTTCCTTTCTCTACTCCTCCTTTCGATTTCTTTGTTTCTACCAGCTTTTTCTCACTGTTTCGTCACCTTTCTTTTTCAACTTCTCCTCTCTCTCTGTTTCTATTACTCTCCCTCACTTTCTCTTCTTCCCTTACTCTTTCCACCTTTATCAATTTTTCTCTCCTTCCCCTTCTTGTTCATTAATTTTCTTCCTCTTCGTTCCTCGTTTTTTTCCATATTCTATTATTTCTACTCCTCTCCCTTTTTCTTCTCGTCGTCTTCTCTATCTATCTATCTATCTATCTATCTATCTATCTATCTATCTATCTATCTATCTATCTATCTATCTGACTTTTCGTCGTTTTTCTTTTACTTCTACTTCACCTCTTCGATTACTCTCCTTTCTCTACACACTCTCTTATACTTAGTAAATCTCTCCATTCCTATTTTTGTCGTTACTTACTCTCCATTCACACTCGCTATTCCTTCTGCCGCTCCCTTTTAAGTGTTCACCCTTCTTTTCTCCTCCCCAATGGTCCCTTCCCTCTTTTTCTTGCTTCGATCTCTCTACATCAGCTCACATCTATCTATTTATTTAAGTCGCTTCCCGTCTTGTTAACAATCGACACTTCTATTCGCTAGGTTAAACAGATCGAGTCAAAGTTAAAATCAGATTTCATCAGCTGAATTTTAAAGCCATTCAGTCGTCATTTTCGCTTGTTCGGGAGATTCATCCACCCAATATATTCACATGCGTATATCGTATATCGTATATACATGCGTATATATATATATATATATATATATATATATATATATATATATATATATATATATATGTGTGTGTGTGTGTGTGTGTGTGTGTGTGTATTATATGTATGTATGTATGTATGTGTATGCATGTACTGGATTGGTGCATAATTATCAGACGTCATTTTTAGATATTACTTATTATGAAATAAATAATTCTATAATAACATTTTTAAATGATTATTCCGGATCGTATGTTTATCAACACGCATTTTTATAACCGGAAAATAAAATAATATTTTTATTAATAAAAAGTAAAAAAAACAGCAATTTTTATTAACAAATAACTGGTCTACAAAAATACCTGATAATTATGCACCAACCAAATATATATATATACATATATATATATATATATATATATATATACCATTCGCAGACAGTACTGTTTTGCTGTATCACAGCTCTTTAGTGCGACTAGACATCCGAATGCCTCAAGCCAGAATCGAAATCCGACCGATTTGGTGTCAGTCAGAGATTCTGCCACTGAGCTATCATCATTCGGCAGAGAGAATCAGCTAATGGGTGAAGCCTATGGATCTTGGTGATGACTTCTTGTGGACTGGCACTACAGAATTAGAAACAAAGATCTGTACCAAATAACAGAAACCGCATCACATGACTTTAAACAGCAGAGAAAACACTGACATAATCAAGATGTTACCATTCTACACTATTCAAATAAAAATCACCAAAAAAGAAGTACTGGAAAGAGCGATAAGAGCTAGTGGACCTGCGAAACCTATTTTTCTGAAAAATTGTTTTAAGAGAAAGATTTTATAAATTTCAACCGACAATAGTACAAACTTCTTGGTCAATGAATACCGAATGCTTCATCACAAGGAAACAGCTGATATTTCCATTACAATATATATATATAAATATATATACATATATATATAATTTTATGGTGTGCTATATTTATGGGATAAAGTGCTCAATATCAGAGATAGAGCGTATGTAAATATAAATATAAAAGTGAAGATTGAGGTCAACACTTTTATTGTTCAATATATATATATATATATATATATATATATATATATATATATATATATTGAACAATAAAAAAATTAAAAAATTAAAAATTAAAATCTTTAGACACACTGGGTTGTAGATTAATATTCTTTCGTTTTTTTTTTATTATTATTCCATTTAGATTCCTCGGCTAGTTTCGACCAAAATGGCCATCGTCGGGAGGAGAAATATTTCTGCTTGCTGTTAGCACTAAACTACAGAAATCTATATATATATATCTGTGTGTGTGTGTGTGCGTGCGTGTATATATATATATATATATATATATATATATATATATATATATATATATATATAAAATGTAAAAACAAAATAATATATAAATTCTAACGTTCATAGCATTAATTCAAAAAGGGCTCACTAGCGATAGTAGAGCAATAATTATTTATTATAATTTTTTTCAGAAAGACAAAAACAATTTACTCACGACAAAGATGCAAAAAATATGGAAAAAGAGGGCAAAAATGCATTCTTTGTTTCGGCACATTTAGTTCTCAACAGTCGAGGTGCAACTAAATGCACCGAAACGAAGTTGCATCTTTAAAGTGAGTAAATTGTTTTTGTCTCGATGAAAAAATTATAGTATCTATATAGTATGAACATATTATTGATCCTAAAGTTTACACTATCTCCATCAACGCTCTCTTTTCGTTATAGAGAACTCTTCTCCCCCAAATCCAGGTCCGTCTTACGACATATCGAGATCTTCTGTTAGTGGAAGTAGAAAGACTGTATTCATTGACTGTTTTGGCAGGACTGCCAGTCGAGTTGCACCTTGTATTCCGCAGCGATCACCCACCTGGATACTAACCAGGCTCAACTTTACTTAACTTCGGTGATCGAACGAGAAACGGTGCTTCAACACTAA